ACTTCCAGGTGTGTCCTTTTCTCCCCCTCAGTGAGGGCTGGTCTAGGAGAGAGTCTGGGCGGAGCTGGGTTGGGTAAGCCTGCCCTCAGGCACCACCAATGCCATTAGCAGGGGTCAAAGTTCTGTTCTCTGCTTCCAGGAAAAGCTGTCAGGGAGGGGCTGGAATGGTCCCGCTCAGCCAGAAAGTCTGCGTGTGGGGTGGGGCTGTCTGAGACCCGCAGTCTGGAGCGGGCCTGGCTTCTTTCCCCGTTCCCAACTCTGCAGCTCCTCCTGGGCTTCTGCCAGCAGGCCAGACCACAAGCCACCAGGCCTCCCCAGACTGTGATGCTGGTGGGAAGTTTCCCTGCTAAGGAACTCCACCTGGGCTGGGTGTACGGCCTCCTTTTGGGAGGAAGGTTTTCTTCCAGGGTGCTGATCTGCCCCTAAAGGCACACACACCTCAGTAAGGTGTTCACGTATATCCCTTTTGTGCCCCGGGCAATGCTAGACCTTGGTGCACAGGATCTGGTCTGCAGGTCTGACCTCTGGGCCCTGGAATTCAAACTATATCCCCACCAGGGAGAGGAGTGCCGGTCCCAATTCACCCATAGGGAGCCCAAGCTGGGTCTATGTCTCTCAGCCTCTGAGTCTGCCCCGTTCTCCTGGGATCACCGTGCCAGCAGCACCTGGGATGGCTGGCGGGTAGGGAGCTCACAGTCTGAGTTCCCCTTAGTCAGCTGTAGGGTCCCAAAAGGGAAGGTCCCGTTCCCTAGAGGTGCCTCCGTCTGGTGGCTGTATTGTCTCTCTGGGAAGCCATGTGTAGGGTGGGCGGAGGGGAGAAGGAGGCAATATGGCGCCTGCCACGTGGCTCAGGTCTGTTAACAGGGAGGTGCCCTGAGGGATCTGGGAGCCTGGTGCTGTGTCCGATACAGGCTTACCGCTCGCTGGCAGCTGCCGTCATTGCTGGGCTGGTGTCCGCAGGTCTCTCAACTCGCTGGGGAGCCCACCAGCAGTCCCAGATGCAGTGGAGGGGAAAGGTGACTGATCTACCTATCCTTGCCGCTGGTCTCCGGGCTGCTCCAGCGGTCTCAGCTTCCAGTTCTCCTCCGCAACCTCTTCCCGTGGAGTCTCCCGGGGTCTCAGGTACCCCTCCTTCCGGCCCTCGTCCGCTGTATGCTCGTCTTCTTGCTTCTTTTTTCTAATTTCTGCTAGAATCTGTCTTTTCTGCAGAGACACTGTCTGGTGGTGTTTCTCGTCCGCTATCTTGATCCAATCTCTCCATTGTGTATTCATACCACATTTTGTTTATTCGTTCACCAACTGATGGAAACTTAGGTTGATTCCATATCTTGGCTGTTGTATTTTTTTGTTTTTTTTTTGTTGTTTGTTTGTTTTTCAGTCTCCGTAGAGACTGTCAAAAATTGCCAATGCCGACTATATTTCAAGTCGTCATGGCGGGGTATTGGGAAAAGTTTTCAATTAGCAATAATCGCGCCTCGGATAAACCTCATTGGCTACGATACTGCCACTGCGCAAAGCTTGGCTGTTGTAAATAATGCTGCAGTGTACATGAGAGTGCAGATATTTTTTTGACATACTGATTTGATTTTCTTTGGATATATACCTAGTAGTGGGATTGCTGGATCACATGGTAATTCTATTTGTAATTTTTTTTTTATTTTAGCGTATTATGGGGGTACAAGTGTTAAGGTTACATATATTGTCCATGCTCCCCTTCCCCCTTGAGTAAGAGCTTCAAGCGTATCCATCCCCCAAACGTTGCACATCTTACTCGTTGTGGTTGTATGTACCCATTCCCTCCTCCTCCCTCCCACCCTATTTGTAATTTTTTGAGGAACATCCAAACTGTTTTTCTATAATGGCTGCACTAATTTACATTCCCACCAATAGAAGACATCATTGAATTTTAAAAGCAGTATCAGTTTAATAGTGGTACTTCAGAAGAAAAACGCACTATCCCTTTTAGCTGTACACATTTATATTATGACTTATCTTGATTTCAGAAACCTTAAATCATGGAGAAAAAATAGTCTTAGAATAGATAACATGGTATTCATGCAGTTATTTTATCTCTTCTTGCCCAAACTTCCTCATTATAAAATGTTCATGTACATGACATGAAATTTTGTCCCATAGCCTTTGACAATTCATAGTACTACATCTTGAAAAGAGTACAGGTCCATAAATGTAATTTAATTGAGCCACAGAAAAATAATGGACTCATCAGGGCACAGCCTGGCTCTCTTTGAGCACTGGTGGCCTCTTGTCAATCTGAGTTAGACCTAAGGGGTTTGCTGAGCACCTGTGTCTGGATATGCCAAGTTCCTAGAACCCCTAGAAACACAAGGAGAAGAAGCCCCTTCCCCAGGAAAATCCATTTCACTGGGCAATAGGTGCCTTCAGTTGCCTTGGAACCTGAAAGAGAGAAAGTAGAATGAGAGAGGACAGAGCACATGTATGAGATTGTTGGCAGGTGCTAAGGGCTGCCGTGCACTCTCCTGAGCTCCTTTTAAAGGTTCTCAAAGCATTTTTTTTTTTTTTTTTTGAGACAGAGTCTCACTTTGTTGCCCAGGCTAGAGTGAGTGCCATGGCATCAGCCTAGCTCACAGCAACCTCAATCTCCTGGGCTCAAGTGATCCTCCTGCCTCAGCCTCCCGAGTAGCTGGGACTACAGGCATGCTCCACCATGCCCGGATAATTTTTTCTATATATATTAGTTGGCCAATTAATTTCTTTCTCTTTATTGTAGAGATGGTGTCTCGCTCAGGCCTGTTTTGAACTCCTGACCTTGAGCAATTCGCCCGCCTTGGCCTCCCAGAATGCTAGGATTACAGGCGTGAGCCACGGCGCCCGGCCTCTCTCAAAGCATTTTCTAAGGGTGCTAGAGAGACCAGAAGGGCCAGTTACCTGCACAAAGCTGCCCAGGAAGGATGAGAGTGGAGCTGCTGTTGCTAACAGGATTCCGAACTGTGCAGGTATAGGTCCAATCCAGATCAGAAAGGCTCCAGGAGTCACTGAGGAAAGATCCCACCCAGGACACGACAGTCCCTGGTCCCACTGGTGTCCACCCATATATGATGTTTTCTCCTCCTTCCTCCACAGAACACCTGAAGGTGGCATTACAGGTCCCCTTCTCATAGATGATGGAATCCACTGTAACTCGAGGCCTTGGCAGCCGCTCTGGTTGAAACAATCATTTTAAAAGATATAAATAGCAATAAAGGTCCTTTCTAGGCCATCCCAGGAAGAGAGGATGCAGGTGGTTAAAGAGAGAGAGCACAGCAAGAAATCCAGACCCTTTCAGAGAAAAAAAATCTCCGACTTTTTCATTTCCAGCTCCTGAGGGGCTGCATGGAGTAAGGGGCAAGTTGTGTGTTTTCAACCAGCCAAACACAGCCAGGATCTACCAGACTTAGGAAGGACAAAAAAGAATAAGAAAAGAAAAAAACAAAGATCTACCTAGGAAAGGTTCTGAACTAATAATAAGAGTGAATGAAACTGGGGGACCACCCTTACCCACGGTCATCTAGCTCCCCAGACTTAGTGGGTGGCTCCACTCACCCTGACTAGTAGAGAACTGTTCCTCTATGCTTTTACTCACCGAAGACCCTCAGAGTGTAGCTGGAAAGTGTTACAGAGGTCTCTGTGGTCATGTGGGCACTGTAAGATCCTGTGTCTGCCATCGTCAGGTTGCTGAGATGCAAGGAGTTGGACTGGGTAAAGTTCAGTCGCTTTTTCCATTTTGGATCAGTCATTTGGATGAATGGACTTTTGGCTTCATCTAGATTTATGAAGGCGATAGATGTTCCATTGAAAAGCCAGGTGATGGCACTGACCTTCTTTCCTTCAGGAAACTTCAAGGTAAGAGTTACTGACTCCCCCAGAACTCCATTCACCGTCGATGGGATTAAGCTGTTTTGTGAAACTACATGCCCTGTAAATACAGCAGGAAAAGGCTTAAAAATTGTCCCTGACGACCAATTCCCACAATTCTTCTAGTCAGTCATAGCTCTCCTATGTTGGGGCCCACAAGAATATTGGACATAAACAGCTATTAGCGCTGGTGCTATGGCTGGAGCTTGAAGTGGAAATGCTTAAACTTTCCTTCCTCCAGGTATCACTCCAGGGATCCTTTCTACTGGATCATTCTTCCTCATCCCAGGGTTTGGGTTCTCCTGAGAGCTGTTGGCCCTGGAAGACCAGAAAGGAGAGCACTCAGGAAGCCAGACACCAGCCTCGCCCTGCCTGGCTCCTCTCTTCCCTCAACCCTACATTTCAACTCTCGTGACTTCCTATTTTTGGAAATGCTTACCCCATCCAGAACTGGAGTTTCAATGTCATTATCTGGTGTCTCAATTGTATGTGATATTAGGATCCCAGATGACAGACAGGACACCTACTTCTTAGTCCCAATCCTGTCTCTGTTTAGACGTGTAACTTTGGAGAAGCCTGTTCATTTCTCCAATCTTCTTCTCTTCCTTTATACAACAAGGGATATAAAATGCAAAGCCTTTATCTAACTCTGACATTCACAGTGTCACTATTCTATGTGCCTCGAATGTTTCTCTTTTCCTTTTCCTCCTTCTCTTTCACTCTCTAGTCAGTCTTTCTCTCTTGTGTCCTAGAGTCACTCAACCTCTTCTCTCTTCCTGGTCCCCCCATCTGCCTAACATGGGGTCCTCACTTCTGCGAAAGGCCTTGCTGGGAAGTGCCCAAGTGGACTCCCTACCCCTTGGGAGGTTAAACTACAGGGGAGAAGCCCCTGACTCACCTTTCTGGAACTGGAGAAGCAGCAGGAGGAGGAGAAGCTGAGCAGGATGGACCTGGGTTGCCTTGAAGATGGGGAGGAGTTAAGAGGAAGGTAGAAGAACAGCAAGTCCTATTCTGCAGTGTGGGAAGCTAGGAGATAAGCCTCTGTTAGTTCTCCATTCCAACCACACTTGCTGACCACTTCCTTTTTTTTTTTTTTTTTGCTGTTGCTGAAGATGTTTTGTTTTTTTGGTTTTTTTTCATATTTTTTTTTATTTTGGCATATTATGGGGGTACAGATTTTAAGGTTTCAATAAATGCCCATTTTCCCCCCTTCCCCCAAAAGTCTTGAGTCTCCATCGTGACCATCCTCCAGATGGTGCACGTCTCACTCATTATGTATGTATATACCCACCCCCCTCCCCCCTCCCACCTGCCCAATACCCTATTACTGTAGTACCTATGTGTCCACTTAGGTGCTACTCAGTTAATACCAGTTTGCTGGAGAATATATCTGGTGCTTGTTTTTCCATTCTTGGGATACTTCACTTAGTAATCTTTTTCTTTCTTTTTTGTTTGTGGAGGGCAAGGAGTATATGGGAAATCTCTGTACCCTCCACTCAATTTTTTTAATTGACTCAATAATTATACATATTATGGGATACAGTGTGATATTTTGATACATATGTACAGTGTGTTATTTTCTTGTAATTGGCCCTAACACTTGCCTCAGCTTCTGTTCTGATATAATTGTTTAGCTTTTTCCATTTAAATCCCCCCTTACCTTATAACATTAAATACACCCTGAATGGTTTACAGAGTTAAATGAAGAAAATAAAACCATTAAGTGATGCTACTTCCAAATAAGTGATAGAAGTTAAGTGGAAGGTCTATTTGGTCTATACCAACAATAATGCATTTTTAAAATAAGTGCAGTTCAAGTCCTCAGCAACAAAATTCCCCCAGCATTGTTGGCATTGGTGATCGTGCTTGATTGGGCTTGACCTCATACTATCCAGTATCTATGTGACTCCTGACCCATTTGACTACGCTGTTCACATTTAGCCCAATACGTCTGAGCCAAATGTACATGACAATAGACTTTGGCACTTAAGGCTGGCCAGATTCATAAAATATGACTGATATCATGTAACAAAAATCAGTGCATACTAACTTGTGATGGAGTGGGCAGTGGTTATTATAAGGATAAAGAGCCTAAGGGCAAGAGTGTAGCAAGGACTCAAGAAACACTGAATCAAGGAAATAAAAACCAAGGAGAAACCAAGTAGGACTATCTCTTGACTCCATTCTCTATGCATCTGATTTATTCTCTTTCTGGATCAGCTCTCTCTCCATCTCCCTACTGGTAGAATATGGTCACCAGTACACAGCTGTTACAGGCTAGCCACATCTAGAGACTCATTACCATTCTCTCTCTCTCCTCCCCTCCAGTCCTTTTCTCTCGATCTCTTTCTCTTTTTTTCCTCCTTTTCCCCAATTCCAAATTCCTGGGGAAGGGACTCTGTTTCTTTTACTAGGCCCTGATACTTGCCTCAGCTTTTGTCCTTAAAGTCATAAATAGTTCAGAAATGTTATGCTTAAATAATATGCTTAAGAAATTATTCTCATATAATTGTTTAGATTTTTTTTCAATTTAAATACCCTTTTACCTTATAACATAAAATATTTCCCCTAACAGTTTACAAAATAAGGTCATGTGCAAATTTGCCCACCTCATTCCTACTTCCCAAAATGTGAAAAATAACAGATATTCTAAGAAATAATAAGAAAATACAAGAAAACAGGCCTAACATAGGACTGTTTTTAGAAATTTTCAGCCAAACACTAAAGTTGAGATAATTGTCCATGAACTCCCCAAATACCTACAACCCAGATTCAATAATTATCACTATTTTTTGTCACACTTGTTTTGTTTATCCTTTCTTTCTTCTTGTTCCAGTATTTAAAGCAAATCCCAGATATTGTGCTATCATCCCAATATATTTCACTATACATTTTTAAATATGTATTTTTTCTTACATAACTTTAATGCCATTATTACAAAAAAAATAGTGAAAAATAATTCATTGGTATTATGAAATACCCAGCCCATACTCAAAGTTTTCCCAATGGTAGAAAACATTTTGTAGCTGGTTTTGTTTTAATTAGGAGCCAAACAACATCTTTATGCTGCATTTGGTTATGGAACCTCAAAAATATATTAATATTCTAATATAGAGAAGTCAGCCCCCTTTAGTCCTTCTTTTCTTTTTCTTTTGTTTTTGAGGGAGGTTTCTGTCACTCTCCTTCATTCTGTCCCTTTCTCTTTTAAGACTCACCATAAACTCATGAATTTTTATGTATTCAATGCATTTCAGTCAACTGCAATCATCATTAGTTTGACACTTAACCCTAGATTATTAAGTCCTGCAAAAATATCCTTCAAACATGAAGAAGAAATAAACACTTTCCCAGACAAACAAAAACTGAGTGATTTGATCAACAATAGATCTATCTTAGAAGAAATGCCAAAGGAGTTCTTCAATATGAAAGAAAAGGACATTAATAATAAGAAATCATCTGAAGGTATACAGCTCACTGGTAACAGCAAGTACACAAATACAGAATACTCTATTGCTGTAACTGTGATGTATAAACCACTTATATCTTGAGTAGGAAGACTTAAAGATAACCCTAGCAAAAATGACTACAACAACTTTTTGAGAGATGGATAGTATAAAATGATATGGATGGAAACAACAAATAGTTAAAGGGGGAGATGGAGTTAAAGGAGAGAAGTTCTATTACATTTCTCATTGATTGTTTGTAAGCACAGTTATCATGCGTTTAAAATAACTGGTTATAAAATGTTTTTTTGTAAGCATCATGGTAACTTCAAATCAAAAAACCTACAATAGATACACAAAGAATAAAAAGCAAGAAATTAAAACACACTCCCAGAGAAAATCACTTTTAACAAAGAAAGATAGGAAGAAGGGGAAAAAAAAGGAAGGAACACAAAACAACCAGAAATCAAATAACAAAATGACAATATTAAGTCCTTACCTATTGATAATAACATTGACTGTGAACGGACTAAATTCTTTAATCAAAAGACATAGACGGGCTGAATGGATGAAAAACAACAGCCAACTATATATTGTCTGCAAGAAACCCACTTCACCTATAAAAACCCACATAGACTGAAAATAAAGGGATGGGAAAAGATATTCCATGCAAATGGAAACCAAAAGCAGGTAGGAATAATTATATTTCTATCAGATAAAACAGATTTCAAGACAAAAACTGTAAGAATAGACAAAGAAGGTAATTTTTTTTTTTTTTTTTTTTTGAGACAGAGTCTCGCTTTGTTGTCCAGGCTAGAGTGAGTGCCGTGGCGTCAGCCTAGCTCACAGCAACCTCAAACTCCTGGGCTCAAGCGATCCTCCTGCCTCAGCCTCCTGAGTAGCTGGGACTACAGGCATGCGCCACCATGCCCGGCTAATTTTTTTTTTTTATATATATATCAGTTGGCCAATTAATTTCTTTCTATTTATAGTAGAGACGGGGTCTCGCTCTTGCTCAGGCTGGTTTTGAACTCCTGACCTTGAGCAATCCGCCCGCCTCGGCCTCCCAAGAGCTAGGATTACAGGCGTGAGCCACAGCGCCCGGCCTCAAAGAAGGTCATTATATAGTGATAAAGAGGTCAATTTAGAGAATATAACAATTCTAAATATATATGCATCCAATACTGTAGCACCCAGATATATAAAGCAAAGATTATCACTTAGAGAGATAGACCCAATACAATAATCATTGAAAACCTTAACACTCCACTTTCACTATTGGACAGATTGTCCAGACAGAAAATCAACAAAGAAACATTGAACTTAATCTTCACTTTAGGCAAAATTGACCTAATTGATATTTATGGAATATTTCATCCAACAGCTACAGAATACATTTTCTTCTTTTTAGCTTATGGATCATTCTCAAGGATATACCATATGTTTGGCCACAAAACAAGTCCTAAAAGTTTTTTTAAAAAATTAAAATTATGGGTTGCACCTGGTGGCTCACGCCTGTAATCCTAGCATTCTAGGAGGCCAAGGTGGGTGGATTGTTTGAGCTCAAGAGTTCGAGACCACCTTGAGCAAGAGTGAGATCCGCGTCTCTACTGAAAAAATAGAAATTGGACAACTAAAAATATATAGAAAAAATTAGCCGGGCATAGTGGCACATGTCTGTAGTCCCAGCTATTCGGGAGGCTGACACAGAAGGATCACTTGAACCCAGGAGTTTGAAGTTGCTGTGAGCTAGGCTGATACCACAGCACTATAGCCCAGGTGACAGAGTGAGACTCTGTCTCAAAAAACAAAAAATTGAAATCATACCAAGTCCTTTCTCTGACCACAATGGAATAAGACAAGAAATCAATAATAAGGGGAACACTGGAAAATGTACAAACACATGGAAATTAAACAATATGTTCTTGAATTACCAGTGGGTCAATGATGAGATAAAGAAATTAAAAAATTACTCAAAGCAAATGAAAATATAATAAAAACACAACACATCAAATCCTATGGGATACAGCAAAAGCAGAAAAGCAGTACTAACAGGAAAGTTAATAGCACTAATAGCTTACATCAAAAACGTAGAAAAGCGGCCGGGCGCGGTGGCTCAAGCCTGTAATCCTAGCACTCTGGGAGGCCGAGGCGGGCGGATTGCTCGAGGTCAGGAGTTTGAAACCAGCCTGAGCAAGAGCAAGACCCTGTCTCTACTATAAATAGAAAGAAATTAATTGGCCAACTAATATATATATATATATATATATATAAAATTAGCCGGGCATGGTGGCGCATGCCTGTAGTCCCAGCTACTCGGGAGGCTGAGGCAGAAGGATTGCTTGAGCCCAGGAGTTTGAGGTTGCTGTGAGCTAGGCTGACGCCATGGCACTCACTCTAGCCTGTGCAACAAAGTGAGACTCTGTCTCAAAAAAAAAAAAAACATAGAAAAGCTTCTAATAAACAACCTAAGGATGCATCTCGAAGAACTAGAAAAACAAGAGCAAACCAAGCCC